TTTTCAGAGTTCATAAAGAGGAGACAAAACCCTTAAATTTTTTAAAATGTTACCGGCGGCAGTCAGTGAAAGTTTTCAAGGGTTTTACCCCAGTGTTGGGGGACCAGAAAAGACAAGTCCACCGATCTCGCGGGTTTCAAAAAACCCCGTCTCTGGAAATAAAACTTCAAATTTCCCCAAGGAACCTTTCACCCCACTTTCATCATGCCAGGGTGCTGACATTTTGCAAATTTTGGAAAATTTTACCTCATGGGGGTTTTAAAATGGCCCCCCTTTTTCAGCATCCCCAAAATCTTTCACTAAGGTGCCATGGTGAGCCCAAAACCCTTTAACCGTCTTTTAGGGAAAATCCAAATCTTTCCCTAATCTCTTACAATTTTCTGCTTACATTTTCTTTTCAGGGACTTTATCCATCGCCCTTTTGAAGTCCCCCCACACTTCCATTAGCCTTCCCCCGGACCCCCGGGTTCCCAAAGCCAATCCCTCTCTCCCGTTCCAGGGTTTTTTAGCACCATCATATCCCCCGTAAACCTGGGCGGACGGCAGACTGGTGACTGTGCCTTGACCTCTTTTTTAGCCAAAAATTTTTGAAAAGAGAAAAAAAAACCCCGGGGGGAAAAATCAAACCCTCCTCAAAGTAGCCCTGACTTAATGATTCCAGGTGCTTTCCCCCCAAGTAATGAAAGGGGGGGGAATTCCCCTCCCGTCTTCTGGGAAATGGGTAAAAAAAAACATGCATTGCCCTGATGATTTAGAAAAAACCCTGGGGCTTTTCTTTTACTCCCAGGGGTGAATACATTGGGGGTTTAACCCCCAAGTACCTCTCAAAATACTGGCAATTTTTATAAAAAAAGGGCTTTTGGGGGATTTGTTTCAAAGCCTAAGAGCCCAAAAAAGTTTCACCCGAAATCTCAAAAACCCCAACCCCACAAAATTAAACAGAAAAGGGTTTTTAGACTCGGGGAAACCCGTTAGAAAAAGGAATTTTTTTAAAAAAACTGATTATTTAGCTCCCCCCGTTTAAACCCCGAAATGGTTTCCTTCGAAAAGTTTTAAAAATATGACCCCAAAAAAAACTTTAATAGTTCTGCCCCGGCCACCCGGTTTAAAAAAACAAAAAGGTCCCCCCCCCCCCTTAAAAAAAAGAGTCTTGCCCCTTTTTACCAAAACCCTGCAAAAAAAAAACACTTGGAAATTTGGGAACCCCCATCCCGCGGAAAAACGAAAATGAATAGGTTCTGGAGGTCACAACCCTTTTCCCGGGGCCTCCCCCAGTTGCTGCAGAAATCAGGGGGGTTTTTTCCCCATCAGCACCAAGGGCAAATTTCCAACCCAGTTCGGTTGAGCTGGTTCCCTCACTGGCCCGAGTCCCCCTGGAGGTAAACTCAATGAAAAGGCTCCCCCTGCCCAAAAAAATCACCACAGTGTGCAAAGGGTTTAAAGGGGGGACAGCTCCTGCCTTTTCCCCTGTTTAGTCCGAAAACACATTGAAAATTTTTCAGGTACCGTTGCCCCAATTGGGGATTTCCCCCTTGTAAAGCAGGGTCCCCGCAAAAACCAAAAATTCCTAAATTTTGAGGAGTCCCCCCAAAAGTTGTTTGGGGCCCAAAGGGAAAGGGCAATCCAAAAAAAGGTAATCCCTTCCTTTCAATAACCCCAAAGGGAGGACCAGACGGGAAAGCGATTCCCCTAACCCCTGCATGGAGTCCGGAAAGGGACCCCCATTTTTCCCTTTAAAAAAAAAAAGTCCAAAACCGGTGTAGGTGTCCCTCCAACATGGCAATACACCCCTGCAAAACAAGGTGTATTGCTACAAGTGTCCCCAAAGACATAACACCCGTGGGCCTTAAACCCTTCCCTTTTGGGTTTTAAGGGCCCCCATTGGCTTACTTGAATAGACCCTTTTAAATTTTCCCAGGGTCAAAGACAGTGGTCTTCTTTGGATCCTTGGGGCAAAAACGCCCAAAGCAAGCCCCTTATAGTAATGGTATTTTTACTGGAGAAGATCTACCGCAAACCTGGTCCCTTTAACATCTTTCGACAAAATGGCTGAGGTGGGCCCCGTTTTAAATTTCCCCGTATGTACAGTGATAAAGGGTTTTAAAGGGGCCCCTGCCCATTTGACCTAGGTTGGACCCTTGGGTTTTGGGGAACTGGGCTCGTCCCCCCCGTTCCTTTTTTGTCCCGGGCCTTTTGACGCTGACTTAAAACTCCTCGATGGGTCTGGGGGAAAAATTTGGGTTATTAAAATCTTTGGTTATTAGGGTGATAAATGGGGGCTTAATTCCTGCCGGGCCTAGTCTAATTTTCCCCCAGACCGTTTTCCCGGAGGTTTTTGGCCCAAAAACAAACCCCTTTTATTAATAGGTTGGGTCAAATGCCTGGTTTAACCCTTTTTAATTTTTTCAAAGCCCTTTTCTTTTTCAAGACATTTTTCTTCCCCTTCCTAAAACTGATTAATTAAAAAAATTCATTTTCCCTTTTATCTTCACAATTCCCA